GGGGGGGGGGTGCGGAGAGGTGGGCGGGACGCACCGAGGGGCGGGGTCGGGCCAGCGTCCATCGGTTCCCACGGCAACCGACTCAACAGTACCTCCCGCTGGTGTCTTGGCCGCCATGTGCGCCCCAGTGGACCCTCATGTTGCCCGGCGATACCTGCTCAGGCGGCAGCTTGGGAAGGGGGTGAGTGCCCGGGGACGCGCTTGCCCTCCGAGGGGCGGCCCTGCGGAGAGAATACCTGCGGGGGATGGTTGGTCCCCCCCAGGCCTGTTCCGTCACACACTGGCGTCCTGCCTCCTCCGTAGGCGGAGGGGTGGTTTGGAGCCCCTTCGTGCCTGAGTTTCCTCATGGGGTAACACAACCGTGACTCCCAGGATCCCGGCTCCTGGGGGCAGGTGACAGCCAGGCCCCCTAGCAGCCTCAAGCAGAGGAATCCTGGCACCCCACTTCCCATGTGCCCACAGTCTCCCGCTTCCTGGGTGCACAGGACGCTCTGGGGAGGCTGGGCCCGTGCCTCAGTCACTGAGAGGGAGGGCAGACCCCAGGCTCAGGAGCACAGGGGTGAGGCCCAAGAAGGGCCTGTGCGGGTATGGGGTGGGTGCAGAGTGAAGGCCAGAGCCAAGTGTATCTGTGTGCCTGAGTGAGCAGGGGAGCCTCTGTGTGTGGGGAGTGCCATGGGCAGGGGGAGGAAGATCCTTCCGGGCAGTGCAGATAGCAAGTGCTCAGGCCCAGTGCAGGCTTGTGTGCCACTGGGTAAGAGATGGAGAGATAAGTGGTGAGGGGTCCAACCGTGTGGGGGCTTCGGGGAATTTCCAGGACTTTGGTTTTCACTGTTGCTGATGCCAGGAGCTGTAGCAGCTGCTGGTGTCGCTTTATAAGGCCTACCCTGCCCCTGTGTTGAGACCCCACTGTTGGCATGCCAGGGAGTGGCAGACGGAGATTCCTTAGTGGTGAATGCAGCCACCGAGTGAGAGATGCCAGACGCTGGGACCAGGGTGGGGGCATTGGAGATGGTGGCAGGGGCTAGATTCTGGAGGAATCTGAAGGTGGGGCCAACGGGACTACGGGCTGGATGGGTGTGAGGGAGAGGGCGGGAGAGTGCCTGGGCACCTGCCCAGATGCTCCCTTCTGTGGTCTCCTTTCCTCCAGGGCCTTGCCAGCTCTCACCCTCCTTTCTGCCTCCTACTCTGGAAGATGTCAGAGTCTAGGGTGGCCTGCAGTTGTGGAGCCCACACTCCCATCCCTTCTGGGGACCGAGAATGGGAAAGAGGAGCCTCATGTGTGCAGGGGCAGTCTGGGTGGGCAGGGGATGGTGGGGCAAGGGGCTGGTCCTGTGCGATGGCACTCCTTCCCAGGCCTACGGCATTGTGTGGAAGGCAGTGGACCGGATAACAGGCGAGGTCGTGGCCATCAAGAAAATCTTCGATGCTTTTAGGGATAAGACAGACGCCCAGGTGAGTGTTCGGGGAGACGTGTGGGACAGGATGGGGGCAGGGAGCGGCAGCCCCTTGCCCTGGTACCTGGAATCGGGTGGGAGCTGGGAGCCGGTCACAGATGTTATGGCTTGTCTTGGAACACCGCCCCCTCTGCCACGCCTGGTCAGGTGGGTGTTGGGTGATGGACATCAGCTCCTTTGGGTCCTCTCAGGACACGGGCTTCCTTCTTGCTCCACCCACCCACACACCTGTGTTTCTGTCTCTTCAGAGAACATTCCGGGAAATCACACTCCTCCAGGTGAGTAGCCTGGGCCCTCCAGCCCAGTCCCCTTCCCCAGAAACAGACCTCTCCAGACAGGAGAGGAGCCAGGCTTCTCGGACCCCAGAGGCAATCCCTGGCCTTCCAGCCGCCGCCGACTCTCTCCCCAGGAGTTTGGGGAGCATCCCAACATCATCAGTCTCCTTGACGTGATCCGGGCAGAGAACGACAGGGACATTTACCTGGTGTTTGAGTGTATGGGTGAGTGAGGCCTCGGCCAGCGCCCCGGCCCCACCTCTGGCCTGTCCTCACTCCTTCTGCGGCCACCCCATGGTGGTTTGCTCCCTTGCCGTGTACCCTGGACTCAGGGACAGACAGCTGACCAGTGTCAGCCTCCGGAGCCAGCAGCGACCCCTTCATCCCTCCTGCTCCCGCCAGTCTGCAGCTGCGTTCATTTTCTTCTCCTTTTATGAAACAAAGGCAATAGGAAATAAAGTGTTTTTTATTTTAGAATAAAAAAATTAATAAAAAAATAATGAAAATTTTTTATTTTATTTTATTTTATTTATTTTTTTTTTTTTTGAGACGGAGTTTCGCTCTTGTTACCCAGGCTGGAGTGCAATGGCGCGATCTCGGCTCACCGCAACCTCCGCCTCCTGGGTTCAGGCAATTCTCCTGCCTCAACCTCCTGAGTAGCTGGGATTACAGGCACGCGCCACCATGCCCAGCTAATGTTTTGTATTTTTAGTAGAGACGGGGTTTCACCATGTCGACCAGGATGGTCTTGATCTCTTGACCTTGTGATCCACCCGCCTCGGCCTCCCAAAGTGCTGGGATTACAGGCGTGAGCCACCGCGCAGGCTTATTTTATTTTTTAAATAAAAAAAATAAAATCGGCACAGCTGCAGACCCCACCGCTGTGCCCACAGGCTGTGCGCAGGATGGAGGAGTGGGGCGGGCAGGTCGTGGGCTGGTTCAAAGTGAGACAGACCTGCCAGGTGCCCCTATCCCACTCCCCCAGGGTGCCACCCCACCCCCTCCTCCTCCACCCCCAGACTGGAGTGTGCACCCTCTCCCCAGACACGGACCTGAACGCAGTCATCCGGAAGGGGGGGCTGCTGCAGGACGTCCACGTGCGCTCCATCTTCTGCCAGCTCCTGCAGGCCACCCGGTTCCTCCACTCGGGGCACATCGTGCACCGGGACCAGAAGGTGCAGCACCCACAGTGCCAGAGTCCAGCTCCCGCCCCACCCGGCCCCACCCGGCCCCAGGGCCTCAGCCTGCCTCCTCTCTGCAGCCGTCCAACGTGCTTCTGGATGCTAACTGCACGGTGAAGCTGTGCGACTTCGGCCTGGCCCGCTCCCTCAGCGACCTCCCCGAGGGGCCTGAGGGCCAGGCCTTGACAGAGTATGTGGCCACACGCTGGTACCGGGCTCCGGAGGTGCTGCTGTCTTCACACCGGTAGCAGTGAGACACCCCCAACCCACCCTCTACCTCCTTGCAGGGGCCCCCAGGGCTGCCCTCCTGCCTAGCCAGAGCTCCAAGGCCACGAGTGTTCTCTCACTCACCCTCCCAGCAACTCCATCCCCACCTCTGCCTGTAGGTCCCTCCATGCCTACACCCCTTCCTGCCCCAGGTACACCCTTGGGGTGGACATGTGGAGTCTGGGCTGTATCCTGGCGGAGATGCTTCGGGGGAAGCCCCTGTTCCCGGGCACGTCCACCCTCCACCAGCTGGAGCTGATCCTGGAGATCATCCCACCGCCCTCCGAGGAGGGTGAGCCAGGCAGCTGGGGTTGGGCACCAGGATGCTTTGCGTCAGACAGCACAGCTGTGGGGAGACAGCAGCTGACAGGCCAGGACTGTGCTGGGAGGAGGGATGGGGACAGCGACAGGGAGGATCTGGAGGATAGGACAGGAGCCCCAGGAAGACCAGCTGGTAATAGAGGCCCAGGAGGAGCTGCTGGGGACGCATGTGGGCAGGCAGCACCTGGCACAGGCACCATGAGAGCTCAGCAGTGGCCATGAAGGGGCCAGCAGGCTGGACAAGGTCCCGGAGGGATTGGGGTGGCAGGGGCAGGGTCCGTCACTGTGCTGGGAGCTGGGGTGTGCACAGAAAGCTGGCAGGAGAGATTCGGGTGCTGAGGGAAGAGGTGGAGGGAGGCAGTGTTAGGAGTAGGGCCATGGGGGTCACTCTTGAGAGTGGGGGCAAGAGGGAGCTGTACCACCAGGTGCATCTGCTTGTCTGGGTGGAGCCTCCTGGTCCGTGGAGGTGGGTTCCGGTGTCCACCAGTGTGAGCACTCCCCAGGGCTAGGTGCAGGTGTGTGGAGTAGGGGTCATGTGGGGTGCTTCTGAGCACAGGCCGGGGGCACGCCCTGGTCATGGGGTGTTTGAGCCCTGCTAGACAGTGGAAACCCTGTCAAGAGGCTGTGGTCCCAGGGTTGGAAGAGATGGCTGGCCCCAGATGCCTGAGCTGCCCCAGCCTGCCAGGCCTGCCTGGGTCACACCACCTTCTGCTGCCCCAGACCTCCTGGCTCTCGGCTCAGGCTGCCGGGCCTCTGTGCTGCACCACCTGGGGTCCCGGTGAGTGGGGGCGCCTTGGCGAGGGTGAGAGGGTGGCTCGTCTTGAGGGAGCAGGGCCACCTTCCTGCAGGGTGACTGGGGCCGGTTTGTACCAGTTCAGGTTCCAAACCCAGCAACTGCTGGCCGCTCTGAGAGCAGGAGCCACTGGTGCTCCTAGAGGGTGGCCCTGAGGCGCTGTGTCAGGGCGTGGAGAGGAGGGCACCCAGGGGCCGCAGGGGTCTCTGCACGCTGCAGGGCCCAGACTGCCTGCAGGTCAGGCGTGGGGGCATCTACCCAGAAGGACAGCAGAGTGGGCCCCTGTGTGGAAGCCGAGCCCCAGCCGTGAACATGGATCTGAGGAGGGCTCTTGGGTGGGTCCCTGGAGACAACACACAGCAACCCACGGGCCACGGCGGACGCTGGACGCTCTCCTGCCACCAGACACCTGCCCAGAGGCCTTGGACCTCCTCAGGCGACTCCTGGTGTTCGCCCCGGACAAGCGGTTAAGTGCAGCCCAGGCACTGCAGCACCCCTACGTGCAGAGGTGGGAGAGGGAGAGGCCCCCCCAGTGTGGGGTGGGGACCGAGGGGAGAGCCCCCAAACCTGGGCCCTGTGATGACGGCCTACGGGACTGGCTTGACCGAAGCCCGGGCCCCACCTCTCCGGCTCCCTGCAGATTCCACTGCCCCAGCGACGTGTGGACACGAAAGGCGGCTGTGCGGCACCGGGTGCACGAAGGGGTCCAGCTCTCCGCACCTGAGTACCGCAGCCGCGTCTATCAGGTGCTCCGGCCCGTGACCCCTGTCATCCCCGGTCTACCAGCACTCTGGAAGCCGCCTCCTATGTCAGAGACCCCCAAACGCCCCGTGGGCAGGCTGTGACCTCTGAGCACCCTCCTGTCCCGCAGATGATCCTGGAGCGAGGAGGCCGCGGCTGCACCTCAAGAGAGAAGGGCCTGGAGGGTGTCGCCCCAGGGGCAGAGCCCAGGGCCTCCCCATCGCAGGCACACCTGTGCAAGCCCAGAGCCAACCCTCAGCTGTCTTCAGGGACACCTGTGCAGAGCCCCCGACCCAGGCCTCAGAATGGCCCGGGCCACGGCCCCCCAGAGCACGGTGTGTGACCTTTGCTGGCCACCCACCAGGATCGTGGCCCGGGTTTCCTCCTGTGTCTGCCAACTGTGTGCAGCACCCGGCTCCTGACCCTGGGGTTGACCTTCTGACCCTACAGAGTCCCCCCGTGTAGCCGAGAACATTCCCAGGCAGAAGTCCGCTCCCCTGCTCCAAGCTGCACCTCTAGGGAGGGGGGAAAGGCCCCCTGGGGCAAAGGCAGAGCCCCGCTTGACACTCTCCCTGGTAAGTTATGGTGGGGTGGGCACAGGAGGGACCCTCTCCCTTTGCCTCTCAGTGACCCTGTAATGTGCCCCTTCCCAGGTGACGCCAAGCGAGAGGGGAGCAGCGTCCTCCCTGACCTCACAGTCTGTGGCTCAGGTGGCCAACCAGGCCCTGATCCGGGGTGACCGGAACCGGAACCGAGGCGGTGGGGTGAGCGTGGCCGGTGCCCAACAGGTGAGCCCAGCCTCAGTCTGCCCCTCCCCCACCCTCCTTTTCACCCCCTTCCCCATCCTTCCCAGTTCGAATCCCTCGAGGTCCTCAAGGCCTTCCCTCCACTGCACCCCCTCTGACACCTCCCCTTACGTGACTCTTAACTGTATGCAGGTCCCTCCCCGGCCCGGCCGGAGGATGTTCCACACCTCTGCCTCACAGGGGACTCAGGGGGCCGCCAGGGCTTTGCTTGGAGGCTACTCTCAAGCCTACGGGACTGTCAGCCACTCGGCACTGGGCCAACTGCCCCTGCTAGAGGGTCACCACGTGTGAGCCACCCTCCTCCCTTCATCTGGCCCTGTTCCTGCCCCAGCACCTTTCCCGGACCCTCCCCGGGTCTCCTGCACCCCTTAGCCCTCCCTGCTTTGCCTGGCCGCACTGAAGTTCCAGGGAGCTTGCCTGGGTCTCCTTGGGGGAGACGAGGGCCCTGCCCCAGCCCCAGTGACTTCCTCCAATAAACTCATGTCTGCCCCCAACCTAAGCAGCCATCATTCCTCTACTCCCCTCTAAGGCCATAGCACCTCCTAGCTGGGGGCCCTGACCCCTTTCCTGGAGCCTCCCCTCCGCCGAGGACCCCACCGCCCCTGTCCTCAGACTTCCACCCCGAAGGTCCTGCCCACTCCACATCCTGCAGTGAGCTTTTTCCTCTAGGTTTGCCTGGGCAGCTTCCTGTCCTTTGTCCATTGTCTCCCCACCTGCTGTGGCTTCAGGGTCCAGGCTGCCCCCCAGGGTGGACCTGTTGGATGGGGACCTAGGGTCACCCCATGGCCATCTTTGTGACTCTGAGCCAGAGGAGAGAAGGGGTCAGCCCCACCCTTCCTGCACTGTCAGGGACTGCAGCCTGCGCCCCCACCCCACCCCTGTACAGCCACTGCACCTGATCTGTCTCCAGGTCTCCATAGGTGAGGGTGGGTGTGGGGTCAGGGTTACCTCCTCTGCTCACCCACAGGCAAAAACCCTGGTGTGAGTTCAGGCCAGGGCTGTGCAGGGCTGCAGAGATCAAAGGGCCCTGTGGGCAAAGAGCTGTGTCCTAGGGTGCCAGGTGTCCGCAGCTGTACCTGCCCCTGAGCTGGGGCTGGAACACAGGCAGCTGGGAAGCTCACAGGGAGGAACTCAGTCTAAAGGGCACAGCCTGTGCTGTTGGCGGGGGTTGGGCTCCGGGCTCACTGTCCGGGAAGCTCACAGGCTGGAGGAGCTCCGTCTGAAGGGCTCAGCCTGTGCTGTGGCTGGGGCTGGGCTGCCAGGAGCAGGGGCTCTGCGGGCTTGTGAAAGCAACTGTCACCATGGGGAAGGGTGAGGAAGGACAAGGTGTGAGCAGGGGGGCTGAGCAGAGGTTGGGAGCTGGCGCTGCCTTGGTGCTGGGCCAGGCACCTACAGGAGACTCAGAAAGGGAGGCTGGGCTTGGGAGAAGGTTGGAGGAGGTGGATGGGGGAGCGGGAGGGCCCGGGGAGGTAGTGAGCCCGTCAGAGACCCTGCCATGGGCTTGTCTCCTGAGGCGTCTGCCCAACGGTCTGCTTGTTGAACTTCACAAGCCCAAGGCACAGCCCTAGGGTGCTCAGCAAGCAGGACACAGAGGCCAGGGGGCTGCAGGGCTGGAGGCTTGGCCTCAGGCTAGGCAGAGTGTGGTGGGGTTGCTGAGTGGGGGAGCACAGGTGGGTGCCCAGGAGTGTGCCTGCCCAGGCAGCATCAGGGACAGGGACAGGAGACACATACAGCGTGAAGTTGGAGGGGCCAAGGTGGACCTTGGAGTGAAGCTGGGGGGTCTTTAGTGCCCCCCACAGGGATGGGAGGTGAGTCCACAGGAGAAACCCAAGAGGCCACATGGTTAGAGGCTGCAGGGCAGAACTGGGCGATTATACACACGGGGAACATGCTAGAATATTTTGTGGGTTGTGTTTCATTCACATCGAAATGTGCCCCATCCTGGTTTAGAAGATGTGGAGAGTGCAGGCAAGAGGCTCCAAAGGCCCCAGTGGGGCAGCCAGCCTCTGGCCTCTTCATGGGCTCCACTTTGAGAGCCTGTCCGTCCAGCCACACCCCAGGCAGCACCAAGCCAAACGTGCCCACAAGAGACGCTCAGGTGCGCCCGCTCCAGGCACCTTTCCCACCTGGCCAGACGCCCCTGCTGTCATCCCAATTTGGGCAGTGGCTTTGGTAACCAGCTGGCTGGGGCTGTCCAGCAGTGACAGCGGGGCCCCTTCCCTTCCTCTCCCAGCTGCTAGATCCAGAACTGCTGCCTCTGGCAGCCTTGTTTCTTAAGTCAGTTCTCTCTTAGGATTTATTACACTAAAAAAATTTTTTTGAAAAGAAATAGCAGATCCAGGTGGTGTAGATGCAATTAAAAAAAATAGAATACAGAAACACTAATTTCACAAAGCTGGCATCTAACAGTGGGGGACCTTCCACGCATGTGGTGCCAAAATGCATCATTCTGAGTCAGTTACAATTCCTCACTGGGGGTGAAAAAAGATACAAGATAAGCCAGGAAGCCTGGACAGATTCTTGGTGTTGGAGACAAAGAGGAAAGGCCCTGAGAACAGGGCAGGGGTGGGGTGTCTGCTGGACACCAGGAGGGCAAAGACTGCTCCCATCTGCAGGGCTGCCCAGGACCTGTGTCTGAACAGCTGGGATCAGCCTCGGCTGCACCTTGTCCCCTGCCCTCACCTGGCCCCACACCTGTCAAGACAAACACCCCACCATCCAGCCCTTCTGGTGCCCAGGCTGGGCCTGTGCAGGGGGTGCTCATGAGGCTGGGGCCACAGGTTGTCCATCCGGACCGTTTTATTGTGCTGCAAAACCCAATGCCCCCTCCCCACTCTCACCCGGTGCTGGCCAGAGCCTTGCTGGAGGAGACGGCAGACCTGGCAAGGCAGCCCCTGGGGCTTCCCTGTGCCCCTTTCTCAGTGGTCTGCCCTGTCCAGCTTCCTTGCCACTCCAAGGGGCATCCTTCCGGTCCGACTCCACTCCTCCATTGCAGACTGCCTGCAGCCAGCCCAGTCTTCCCCACAGCAAGAGCACAGGCCTCTGAGAAAGATGCTGGGAGGCAGTGAGCGGGAGAATCCAAGTAGGACAGGAAATACAGCCCTGAGGATGGAGGAGACCCTGAGAGAGGGAGGGAGGGGGCTGTAAGGGGACAGGGAGGGGAGCCCTGAGAGCAGGAGACCCTGAGGAGGAAAGGGGCCCCAGAGAGTGGGGAGTTGAGGCACAGAGGTGGGGCCCTTCAAAGAGGACAGGGGACTCAGTGGAGCACGGAGGCTCACACCTGTAACCCCCCCATGTTGGGAGGCTGAGACGGGCAGATCACTTGAGGTCAGGAGTTGAAGACCAGCCTGGCCTACATGGTGAAACCCTGTCTCTACTTAAAATACAAAAATTAGCAGGGCATGGTAGCAGGCACCTGTAATCCCAGCTACTTGGAAGGCTGAGGCACGAGAATCACTTGAACCTGGGAGGCAGAGGTTGCAGTGAGCTGAGATGGCACCACTGCACTCCAGCTTGGGTCTCAAAAAAAAAAAAAAAAAATGGCGTGGGGGCACTGAAGCACAGAGAGATGGCAGAGCCAGACTCTGCACCAGGCAAGGCTGATGGTGCAGAGATGAAGATGCTGAGGAGAGAAGGTGCTGAGGGAAGAAAGGCACTGGTGGCGAGGGGCTGGAGCCCCCGTACTGGGGAGGCCAGGGGCACAGAGGGCAGCTGCCGGGTGAGCCCCAATAGGAGCCGAGCTGTGGCGCACTCAGCCAAGCCCCAGGCAGCCATGGCCTGGCAGCCACCGCTCAGGCACAGGAGCAGTGCTCTCCTTGCTCCGTGGGGGCTCCAGGTGGCCATGGCAGCAATTCGGACACCCTGGGCTGCTGGGCCAAGAGACTCATTTCTTGCCTTTGAACGTGCCCAGAATCTTGGGCACAAACTTGCCCACCTTGCTGTCCCTGGTGCCCTCCTCCACCGGGCCCTCCCCAGCCCCGGGGCTGCTGGCTTCCTCTTTTTTGCAGAAGACCTCGAAGCGGCTGTACACGCGCTTCTCCTTACGCATGCTCTCCATGCGGCGCAGCAGCCGATCGCGCTCCTCCGCGCTGGCCGGCAGCGTGCGGCTCAGCCGGCCTTGGGTCCCCAGGCTGTCTGAGCGGAAGATGGCCGAACACTTGTCCTTGTCGGACATATCTGGAGCCAGGCCGCCAGCAGCCGGTGGACGGCCTAGCTCGGGGCTGCTGTGGGCTGGGCCGGGGCCCGGGGAAGGGACCACACGATGCTTCTGGCCATGGGCGCTGATCTGCTCCAGAATGGCCTTCGTGTCATCCCGAAGGTTGCTGCTGTACAAGGCGTTGGCCGTGGCTGAGGTCAGGCGAGCCCGGGGGCCCCGCTCCTCTCCTGTGGCAGCCTCCGTGCTGTCACCCCGGCCCAGTGACGGCCGCCGCGGGCTCTCAGGCTGCCCGTTCTCCTGCGGCACTGGGAAGCCACCCTCATCCTCCATGCGCCGCTCGCCCTTGGGGCTCAGCAGCTGCCTGAGGCGCAGGGAGCCTTTGCGCAGGACTTCCATGGGGCCGCTCGGCCCCTCCTCCGCGGGCCCGGCCTTCGGGGACTCTCCGGAGAAGGTAAGGGTGAGGCTGCCCCTGCGCTCCGGCACGGGGGGCACAGGACTGACCCTGCGCTCCGGCACGGGGGGCACAGGACTGCTTCTGCGCTCGGGGTAGGCTGAGGTGGGGCTCCCCTTCTGCTCGATAAATCCTGTCGTTGGGCTTCCTCTTCGAGTGGGAAACCCAGGCGTGGGGCTCCCCTTCCGCTCAGGGTAAGCCGAGGTGGGGCTCGCTTTTGGCTCAGAATGGGGCACCTGGCGCTCCCCGGGCCCTTCCAGTGGCAGAGGGCTGTCCAGCCCTTGGGGGGAGGTGGAGCGGCCCTGGGCAGAGAGGAAGCGGGAGGGCAGGTGGTCAGAGCCGCTCCGGCCCAGCGTATCAAGCAGCTGCGTCGCGGTGAGCGAGGCGGCTCCCGGCTGCCGCTCCGCCTCCTGGTTCAGCTGCTGCGCAAAGGAGTCGCGCAGGTCCAGCAGGCAGCTCTCGAGGCTGCGGCGCTCGCCTCCCACGCCACCTGGGGCCGCCACCTCTTCCCGCCATGCCTGGGACACGACGGCCTTGCTGTGGCTGGCAACTGTGATGGCGCCCGCGCCGCCGCCGGGATCACGGGCTGGGCCCTTATACTTCTCCAGCAGCTCAGCCACCTTGGTGGAAGCCGCGGAGCGCACGGCCTCTCCGCCAGGCCCCAGCGTCTCGCTCACCGTCTGCTCTTTGTGCAGCAGCTGCACCTTCTCGGTGGCCGCCGCAGTCCCGGTCGCGCCCTCGGCCTGTGACGCGCTGAAGATGAGCGAGGAGCGCAGCCTGGAGCTGCGCTGGATGAGGGGGTTCAGGCGCGAGCGGAAGGAGTCCTGCTTGGCCAGGCCGGGCTCCTCCGGGACCTCCCGCTCCGGGCCGTTGCCGCCGCCGCCGCCCAAGCCTGGCACCGGGACCTTGGTGGGGAAGGCTGCGGGGGCGCGGAAGGCCGAGGGGAGCAGGTCGCCGGCAGCTGCCCGGCCCCCCGGAGCCAGCGCGTCGTCTTCATAAGCCTCGGCTTCCATGGGCGCCGGGAGGCCGTCGTCGCCCCCATCCTCGCCATGGCAGCCGCTCAAGTAGGAGGCCAGGCGCCAGCGCCGCAGCCCGGCCCGCCCCTCCGGCCCGCCCCTGCGCTCCGGCTCCGCCTCGGGAGCGGGGTCTGGGCCGGGCCTGGCCGCCGCCTGGCAGGGGAAGCGCTGGGCCAGGTTGGGGCGCAGGGCCCCGCTGGGCTCCGGACCGCGGGGGCCGGGCCCGAAGGCGGGGTCCGAGCCGTGGCGCACCTCGCGGGACGCGCTGGACGGCACGTAGTCCAGCCGCTGGTGGCCGTCGGGCCCGAGCTCCGGGAAGCGCGGCCCGGCGCCCAGAGTGAAGTCATCTGGGTCCGCGAAACCCGCGCGGCCCCCGCGAAGCTTCTCGAACAGGCCCTGCGGGCGAGCGGGCGCGAGCTGCGGGTCCCACTGGTACTGCTGCTGGTAGAGCTGGTCGCGGTGAAAGTGGCTGGTCTGGAAGCGGAAGTCGTCGCCGTGGCTGAGGAACGTCTGTCGCGACACCTGCCGCGCGGCCGCGAAGTTCTCCACGGCGCCCGCGCCCTCGGCCGCGAAGCTGTGCCGCTTGAAGGCGTCCATCTCCAGGTGCCGCGCCTGGAAGAAGCCCCGCGCGCCCGCGAGGTCCCCGGCCGGCCCGGCCTCCGCCTCCAGGCGCCGCGACAGTGGCCGCATCCCCGCGTGCGGCTCCAGGGCGCCCCCCGGCATCCGCAGCGGCTCCTCCCGGCGCAAGGCCGACAGGAAGTGGCGGTCCGGGTCGAGGAAGGACGGGAAGCCCAGGCCCTCTTCGCGGGGTGGTGGGAACAGGAGGTGCGCTCGTTTAGGGAAGGAGAAGGGGGTTGGTGCCCCGACCCCAGGGACGCCCACGAGGGGCCCGGCCCCGGCATATGGAGCCAGGGCGTAGGCGTCCATGCGGGCCAGGGCCGTGGCCGAGGGCACCAGCGGCTCGGACTGCGCGAAGAGGATGCGGAACTCCTCGTCGAAGCTGGAGACCAGCTCTCCTTGGAACACGTGTGCCAGGCTGCGGTGGATCTTCTCGAAGGACCACATGAAGCTGTGGGGGGTCAGGGCCAGAGTCAAACCGAGCTGTAGCAAGGGCAGTGCAGCCTTGTGGGCAGCGGGTGGGGCGGGGAGGACTCAGGGACGTGAGGTCTGCAAGGGCCTGGGTCCAGCCTACAGGTGCAGGTGGCTACAGGGCAAGGGCTCCTGGTGAGGAGGGCCCTGGTGTGGAAGGGTGGCACTGGGGCGACAGGAGGAGGCCCCAGAGGAGCTGAGGGAACCCCATGGGCGCACCTGTAGCTCCCACTCATGACCACAGCGCAGTCCACCAGCAGGAACTTCTCCTTGACGTGGCCCTTGAAGGACTTTCCCGTGCGGCAGTAGTAGGTGGGGCCCGCCACGGTCCGCACACGCAGGAACTGGGGAGGGAGGGGAGTCAGATCTCTGCCAGGGGGCCTCCCCAATCCCCCACTCCCGGGAACTCACATCCACGTGGTGCAGGTTGACCCGGCACTTGTCGGCCATGTCCAGGAAGTGCTGTGCGTTCATCTCGTCCAGCAGGATGTAGACTGGGACCCGCCGGGCTGCAGCCTCCAGCACTTCACTGAGTAGGTCCACATCAGTGAACATGTCCATCACCACGGCCACCACCTGCAGGGGCGGGTCAGGATGGAGAGCAGAGGCCCCTGCTG